ATAAACTGATGACATGTTCAAACATTTACGGGACATTGGAATGTCGCAATAGCTTGATAGGTGGGCGCCGCATGAATCAAATTAAAAGCAAAGTATATTTCCATTTCACACTCCGGTCCTTATGATCGGAATGACTGAGGTCCACCTCAAGTGAACCGAGGTCTCAATAGAGGTTACTTGTAGCAACCCAACCATACAGCGGATTCTCCAAGTCCAACTTCGAATTCGTTTCCGCTGTATCAAGCGTTGCTCGCGGATCTCCGTGGCATAGTGTTTATGGCGTTAGCCGTGAACCGCTAGGCTCTGATTTGCACCCCAGCTAGAGCTATTTCCACTTGATGAGTCCAAACCAGGACGAAACCGCGGTCGTGGAGTGCCAGTGTTGGGATGAGCAACACCAAAATATTTCCATTTCACCTACGGTCCTTGTGATCGGAATGACTGAGGTCCACCTCAAGTGAACCGAGGTCTCAATAGAGGTTGCTTGTAGCAGCCCAACCACACAGCGGATTCTCCAAGTCCAACTTTAAACTCCATACTTCTGCAATCTGTGCACTTAGTTGCGGCAGCTCATCACACCGACTCACCTGTGCGTGATAAAATTGACCCACATATCCATCACCAGTTCACTCATATTTGTGTCGTGGGGGTAGAAGTATGTCTGAGATGCCCATTTAGGATCGACGTGTTGACCGTAAAGCGCTTTCCAGAATGCGCTGTCCATAAACGGAAACCCGAAGAGGAACGGCTGTTCTGCTCCGTGATAAACGCCTATACAAATACGGACAAAATGAATACTTCTTGAGGTATTATCGAAACGGATAAGCTTTTGAGACACCACAATGGAAAGTGGAGAATGAAACAGCGTTTACAATTGTCCTAGAAAAGACAATTATCTCGGAAAACGAATAAATTGAAGTGATAGAACCAACGAATAAATATCTGACTACTAATCCTGGGGGTTCCTTGCATGGAAACATACCGGACATAGGAAGCGGTACCACGCAGCAGACCAGAATTTTGATACTTATACAATTTGACCAAACAACAACATTCGAACAATAAACCACCAAAAGGATACAACCAACGACGGCTCTAGGGTTCATTCTGAAAATATGAAATCTGGATGATCACGAATAAAGCCTACGTATAAGGAGCTATCGATGGAGGTCCTGGAACCCATTTATTCGCAGTTGGCCATCGACTGAAACATGCTGACCTTCGGTTGCATGCTTTATTGAGCCCTCTGGGAAAGGGCGCTCAATTCGATTGGCCATCATTTTAACATTTGACGTCTATGCATAACTTGCTCTGTCAAAAATATGCCACAACCAAAACGTCGTGTGGAAGGTACCATCGTTCCAGCCTAAACTGAAACAGGGACAGCCACACCTTAACCCGTGAAACCTGAGTACAATCAACATATGCCCAGCATATTCAATACCCTTGGGAGGGGTTGATTTTTCTATCTATGTTACCATCCGCTTTTGTCGCGAAACCAACTTACCATCTTATCTAGCCAGATGTATAATTCTGAGAACATAATGAAATACATATGCAGTGGGGCTAGCACAGGTCACTGGAACCGAACGAACGTTTTATCAGCCGATAACACTCTTCGCCATAAAGCTGAGTGTCGCTCAACCTTAAAAAGTCGGACTCGCATCTTACTTGGAGCACCACTCAAACACAGCAGGTCTGTATTGTGATTGTACTATAGAACTACTACTATAGAACTACTATTCAGTAGTGTAAACTCGAGCAGAACACAAAAGTAAACATTCGCTGTTCTCCACCCATGAGCCACGAGTGTCAAGGACCTAAGCACAGCAACAAGCAAGTGATGTCGGTCATGCGAAGTAGTGAACTTACCCGTTTGTGAGTTTCTTGTAGTGTCATTCGGGCTGACGTATGCAAATTCGTAGAAATATACTTGATCAGAATGCTCAGCGTGCAGTCGAAGAGATGTGATCAGTGGGGCGTTGACTTCGTAGTCCGAAACGAGCTGCGTGTCAAGGTCGAACAGCAGATTTCAATCACTTCGTTAGGGTGAACAACATTTCATTGTCTACGAAACACACTTTGGATTCAATAATGAAATGGGCGCACAGCCAAGTAACCGTTGGTTGTGGAGTTGGTTTCCTACAACCAAGTCATTGCTTCGAATTCCTCAAATGATAAATGAATCATGCCCAGCAATCTCGGAGTGGATCACCGCAATCGGCAAGGGCGAGGTTCCTTTGCTCTGATTGTGGTGAGCCAAGTAATGAAAGGTACGAAGCGAGCTTGAGGCTAGCCATCTTCTTTGTACTAAATCGCTCCTTCGAGGTAGGAAGCAATTCAGCACGAAAGAGTAGATTACCAGAGGGGCTAGAGTCGGCTTACGAGTGCAGAAAAATGCGTAGAATGGTCGTCGAGGTATGCGACCCTAAACACAGGTCTTTAGGACTTCGCTGAGTTCCTCACCAGTTGGTCAACCAGTATCATAGCGCGCACCACTGCTGTTAGTGTAATTCAAACATGCGGCTCTAATACATGCACAAACAGCGTTCATCATCATGATACACATTAGCTAGAGGTGGAAAACACCTCAGCCACTGTGTCGCAATACATAAGAAGAGAACAATAGAGATACACGCCAGCTGAACTACCAGTAACGGATGTGCATCGTTCCGGAAAGCTACCAGTCGGCTACTATGCAGCAAAAAATTTATTATGCAAAATTTATATTATGCTGAAGTGAGATCGCGGTTGGACGGGAGGCTAAGTAGGAGAGGGTAGGAAAAAGAAACTCACCGCACAAACGCCACTGATGTCGGCTCACCATCATGTCAACAAGTATATCCAGCCAAACGTACACATCGCCTTTCGGACTCCAACCAGGGCGCCGAAAGACTCCAACCGAGGCCAACGTCAAAGTAAGGGCCTTCGTTCTTCTTGACCACCTTGGCCAACTCTCCTCTTCTTCCATCCACACCTCCGGCGCGCAAACAACTCATATCGCCGGAGTCGGTGGGTTAGCATGCGCAACACGTGGCCCAGTAGTCGGAGCCTGGTGTGTGACATAACGGTGCTGAGCGGTTCATGTACTCATTGCACGCACGGCGTTCAAACTAGATGTGAGCCAAACTGCGAAGGCAATGGTGTTCGAACGTAACTAGCCTCTTTATGTCTGCTGATCTAAATGGCCGGGTTTCACAATCGTACAGTAGGGGCGAACGCACAACTGCATTGTACAATCCTCATGGAGAGAGGGATGTCGCGCCGGTGCCCTAAGTGGCAAGGGTTGGCTAAAGAGCTGGCACTTTTGCTATACTGTTTGTGATCTCGTCTTCGATTCCAAAGGTGCTGATACAACTGTATAGGTAGTTGAACTTCTAAACTACTTCTAGCTGATATGCAGAATGGGTCTGCGCTGGAGGCGGTCCCTCCTAAGCTTGGAGGAAAACTTTGCACTTCGAGGATGCAAAGCATAGCCCGAAACGGCTGACAGCCAGTGCTAATCTGCTCAGTGTTTCTTGGCAGGTTTATGAGCTGTCACACACGAGGGCAATGTCGTCAGCGTACTCCAAGTTTAGTCGGTCAACTGGGAGCACCTGCACACCTTGCAGATGGTGTCCAGCGGACGCCGTCTCCATGAGTTCGTCAATGGCGAAGTTAAACAAGGATGGTGACAGCAGGCAACCTTGTCTCACGCCGCTGGAGATATTGAAGGGCGGTGACAGCTTGCCCTAAACACTCGTTCTGCACCAGCTACGCACGTCTAACACTCGGATAATAGTTACATGTTTCTCGGGCACACCTTTCCTGAGTAGACTGTCTCAAAAGGCACATCGATCAACTGAATCGAAGGTACCTTTGATGTCGAGGAACATGACTACGGTGGCTCGCCAATACATATGGCGGCGCTCCAACAATTAACATGATTTGAAGGTATGATCAATACAGCCGCGACTACGGTGAAACCCGATTTGATCCTCGCGAATTTGGCTTTCACATGTGCCAGCCAGTTTGTGAAGGATGACAATTTGGGGGCATTGGAGAGCAAACTGATTCCTCTTTGGTTGCTGCATTCCGATCGTGAGCCACCCCTGAAAATAAGGACTATGACGGAGCGGCTTCAGTCGGTTGGGACAGTTTCCTGTTCCCACTTTCAATAGTAACTAGTGTAAATCATCCGCAAGAGCAGTTCTCCCGAATTTATAGGGGGCTGGTTGAAGATCATCTGATCCGGCGACTTTATTCGACTTCAGCGGTCTTACCTAAAGTTCGAATTCTGAGCGAGAGGGTGGATCCAAATGGACATCCCAGAATTGTTTTAAAATGAATGGCTCGTAACCAAAATACCAGGATGCAGGCTGACCGACCTATTCTAATATAGTGAACTAGCCGACACGCCAATCTTGGACGAAATCTCAGTCAGACTAGTATGTGAAGGGAATATGCTTAAACCGAAGGATGTGCATTTTATGCTCAACTTTCAACAGTATGCAAATGGAGCCAAGATTGTGAAAAGAAATGATTCGCACTTTGCTGTTCTTACAAGATAGATGCTGTGAATACCTACAAAAGATCTTGAAGTTTATCGCCAAGAACTTAATCCAGTTGGGCATAACAAACCTTACAGTTGGAGTAAAAATATGGGAATGCTTCATTTTCATAATAAACCTTAAACTTTTGTTAGAGAAATAGGTCTGCAGAGCAGAATTCGAGTCCAATAATACTGGCTATACTCACTGATTTCTAAGCCGTTATGCGGACAAGTTCCGACGAATCACGAGAAAGCGAAACTCACTGCGACAAGCCGCTCCCACCGTGCTGAATTGTTGGCCAGATTGGGCCACCAGGTGTACCGCGTATAAAGCTCTTCTGCAGTTGCGTTGAAGCGAAGCACGTTCTCATGGTTTAAAATGTTCCCAATTGTTCGTCGGGCCACATCATCAGTAAAGTCCTTCACAGCGGGGACTTCCGATTCCCAGGCTGTTAGCGAACAGATAACGTATGCGAATGTGAGACCTTAGCAAAAGATCTACCTCGTGCATGGTATCAACAATAACTCCCTCAGCTACTACATCTACTTCTACTACCGTGATCTATGATTCTAGCCTACAGTTCGGGATCCGTTGAAATAGCGCCATCACCATTACATAATGCAGCTAGAGGTAGGGAAACATATGAACCATAATTTATGATGGATAAAAAAGCATGTGCATGACAAGTCCCGTCGGGAGGTTGGAGTAAAAATTAAATTTTGAAGGATCATCGAATAAGTAAATCGTTATTTCAAGCATTCACCGGGTTAAATGCACTACTGCATAACGATAGTCTGAATTGGGAATGGGATGTGCACACGCAAAATAATATAGAGAGCTGTTATAGTTCAGTAAGTGCGTGAGAAATAAATAGGAAACGACAACGCTCACTCGTTTGTTTCTTCATTTGACAGATGCGTTATATTAATCCAGTTTAGCTACATCCAAGCTAATCACATGGACACTTCTGTATGTATCCTCACCGCCACCTTGCGGAGAGGGCCGTTAAGCACATGGTTAGTTTTGCGTTATTTCGTCCTCCAAGTGGAACGGACTATATCAAGTAATGCAAGTTTGAAAGCGTTTCATCAAGGCCTTTTTTGAAAAGCGTTAATGTAGGGGCAAGGATAACGTGAGTCGGAAGGGCATTCCAGACACGGGACACACGGAGGGAGAAAATATTGTATCGACAATTAAGTCGACTGTAGTGCGTAGCCAGTTTGAGCTGATGGCCTCTCAGGTTGGTATTTCGGTTCAGCTGCAACAGAGTGCGACATGGATGCGTTGGGTTCGTCAGTATTAAGCAAACCATGATCAGGTCTCCTCGCTGACGTCGATATTCACCCCTGTACCATCTCAGGGACTGCAGTCCGCGTAGGGAGGAGAGGTGAAACAATCCTCTAAGGAGTTTGGTCGCTCTATGTTGTGGTGCTTCAAGTGCATCGACGTCGCGCTTGCGCCAGGCCTGGATCGCATATTCCACGTGAGACCTCACGTACGTGTTCAGCAGTCGGGGAAAGATTGATGGTTCAAAATTGCCGAAAGCCCTACTTAAGAGTCCAAGATGTTGACTGGCGCATTTAGATGCCTTTTCAGCCTGTCTCGAGCAACCAAGGTCGTCCTGCACGATCACCGCGAGGTCGTTTTCTTGGGAAGCACGTTGTAACTGCTGATCCTCAAGTCGATATTCATAGATAAGCTGATGGCGTATGCTTACGACTTTGCACTTGGTCACGTTGAACTGGAGCTTGTTGTCGGATGACCACGCAGAAGCCCTGTCGAGATCGCTCTGCAGTGCCAGGTAATCATCCGATGTCCTGATATCATGCTAAATTTTGATATCATCTGCAAATAGTAAGAAATTCGACTGCAGTACACTCCCAAGATCGTTAATGAATGTGAGGAATAAACGTGGCCCCAGTACCGATCCTTGAAGCATGCCACATTGGACGTCAGCTGGGTCGGAAATGGAGCTGCGGACTCATATTTAGCTGACACTGAGGGAGGAAGTTGCCGAGCCAACCGAGTATAGGGTCACCGATTCCACAGCTTCGAAGCTTGTGCAGGTGAATGCGGTGGTCCAAACGATCGAACGCTTTCGAGAAGTCCAGGTAGACAACGTCGACTCCCACTCTGGCATCGGCTGACTCTGTCCAGCTTGCTCTGGCTAACAGTAATTTTGTGGTGCAGGATCGTTTCGGCGGAATCCGTATTGCTGTAACACCAGGATGTTGTTGCTCTCAAGATATCCCATGAGCGCCTCTGCAATTATACGTTCCATTACTTTGGATAAAACTGGGAGGAGAGTGATTGGACGGTAGTTCGAGGGCTCCGAACGATTACCACTTTTGTAAATAGGAGTGACTAGTCCATGTTTCCACATTGTCGGAACCTGCATTTCGTCGAGACAACGTTGAAAGAACCGAGCTAATGGTTCGGCAAGGTTCATGGCCGCTGTCTTCAAGGCCTTCGGTTTGATGTCGTCCACGCCAGGTGAGCTGTGCACGCGCAATGACATTAGCGTTTTCATCACATTGGCTGCCGTGAACGATACGTGGTTTAACCCTGGTGTTGATGGAAGCTGTGTAAAAAGCGGATGAAATGATGATTCACTCCGGAAAGTATGGATGAAGTGTTGGCGAAGCACGTTGGCTGCATCTTGTGCGGTTTGCGCAAGACCATCTGTTGCACGTAAAACCGGGATCCCGCGCTGCACTCTGCGGAGCTTGTTGACGCGTTTATACAGCAACTTGGGATTTGTACTGAATTTTGACGCTATGTTCTGTTGGTGCTGGAGTTTGTCCTCGCGGATCAACTTGACGCAGTGGTTTCGTTGAGTTGTGTAAGCACCCCAGGTCAGGTTACTTGGACAGGCTTTGTAAGCGCGCCAGGCTGAATCCCTTAAGCCCATGCATTTTCTAGTACGGCTCCTCAGGAACGAATTCACTTGCTTCGGGCGAAGGACTTTGCTTTCTGACGCATTTGCCACTAGCTCAGTGAATTGGGTGACGAACAACATCCAGGCGACATTGGGCGGCTTCTCGGCCAGGAAGGACCAGTCGGTTTCTTGAACGAAGTTGGACAGTTTATCGTAATGTGTAACGACATAGGTTTCCACGTTGTTCTCACTGATGTACTCCGAGTAACAGATGTAACGAAAGAGCAACATCGCGTGATCGCTACGGCCAAGTGGTGCATCTATGGTCACGGTGTCGACCATTAGTTCCTGGTTGGAGAGCACAAGGTCCAAAACAGAGGATGTGTCACCCGTTCGGAATCGCGTAGGCGAGGTGACATGGTTGTACAGAGGTACATCAATGATCATCTTGCAAATCCGTCTTGAATTGTTCGCAGTGCGATGCTGGAACTTCAATTGCGTGCAGGTTGAAGTCCCCACCAGAAGGACGTGACTGTATGGTCGTGTAAGGACTCGTTTTATCGCAGAAGCTAGGCATTGATCCATTTCCAAGGTGCACATTGGAGGGCGGTAAACTATTCCTAGTAAACACACATCACCACGTCTTAGGTGCATACGACACCAAAGAGCGTCGAGGACTTGCGTTTCTGGGTCCTCAATGACATCAACATGCAGGTCGGATCGATAATACAGGAGCACTCCCCCTCCTCTGCTAGGTCGATCACTTCTTATGGAAGTCATGCCGGGTAGTGAAATCTCAGCATCCGTGATCTCCGTGTTCAGCCATGTTTCGGTGGCCATAACTAGGTCCAAAGGCGTGGAGACCTGACGCATACGAAGTTCGGTTAGCTTGCTGAAAAGACCTTGTGCATTGATATACAAGCAGGTGAGGGCATCGGTGGTCAGAAGCGTGTTGTGAATGCTGGTTTCCGGTGAGGGTCTATGCCGACTATTTTGGGGTCGACTGCCGGCCGTTTTTGCAGGACCGATGACACAGGCCCTAGGGCCAGTGTAGGTTGTTGTATAGAGCTCTCAGCGCCAAAAAGAGGGTGACCATCCTGTCCTCCTTCAGCTGTCTGTGTGTTTTGGTTTTGTCTCCGTTCTGAGCCAAACAGTGACAGAATTGGATTGGTAAGTTGCTTGCTTAGTGTTACATTCTCTAGCTGTGGTCCGGTGCCTATTGCCTTTATGCCTATTTCGGATGGCAGCATTTTACGCTTTTGTGCCACATTTTGATCACATGTTCTACCATCAGTTCGGAGTGCAATGATAATTTCATCACTCGGGGACCACACCCTTTGTAGTTAGGTGATAGAGGTAACCTTGATGTCGAAGTAGCGATAAGATTTTCGAGTGAGAGTACTTCACGAATGAAATGACATTCATCCCAGGCATGCGCTTTGACCTCTAGCTCGCTTAGTGACTGGAGCTCGGGGACACCGTGAACAAGGATATATTTTGCGTCTTATTGTTTACGGAAGTCATTCGGATTTTGTTTGCTTTTCTGGCGTTCGCTCCAAGGAACATTCTGGTCGCACGCACGCATACTGGTCGCGCACGCATCGGAACAGAAGTCCTTCCAAACCAAAAACAAGCATGTCATTTCTGAGGAGCAGCATATGCAAAAGTATGTCCCGGAGGGATTTGGCATGGCGAGATGACTAGGACTGCTCAAATGCCGAAACCTGGACTGCATCGGTGACACATCGTAATTTCTGTGTGAAACTTATCCACGAAGACGGTCGCTCAAAAGCAGGAGTTAATGGAGCCATTCTACACGAACCACAAACTCCTGTACAGGCACGTTAACGGCCTTCGAAAGGTGAAGCGGGGAGTTCCAGCACTAGTCACGGCTGTTGGGTGCACGCGATCAGCAATGGAAGCAGGAAATCTCTGACGGCTTCATTACTCCCAAACTTTCCAGCAGGTAACGGGCCCAAACATTCTCCTCATTTCTAATACTCCACCATCTGGTTTAGACAACATCACCTTCATTGCGGTAGCTGTGTTGAAGAAGTTGTTATCCTTGCGTATCCACAGTTCTCCCGGAGCCGACAACATCCGACCAAAGGCTCTTCAGGCGATAGCTAGTGATCTAGCAGAACCACTGGCTGTTTTCTATCAGCCATGTCTAGAAGAGAACCGTATTCCATCAGTATGGAAGCAAGGGATGGTCACTCCTATCCATAAAGGAGGTAGCCGCACGGATCCTGCAAACTACCGTCCAATAACACTACTTCCCGTACTATCCAAAGTGATGGAATCAATCATCGCAGACGCGCTGATGCAATATTTGGAAAGCCACAATTTAATAGCCCCAGAGCAACATGGCTTTCGTCAAAAGCATTCATGTAATACTAACTTATTAATAGCACGTAATAGCTGGACTGAAGTTGTTAATGATGGAGTGGGAGTCGATGTCATCTACCTGGACTTTTTAAAAATGTTTGATCAATTAGACAATCGAATTCTCCTTCAGAAGCTTCTGAACTACAACATTGGCGACCCAATCCTGAGTTGGATTAGCAATTTTCTACAGGAATGACGGCTAGTGGTGAGAGTCCGAGAATCATTGTCTGATACAATCGATGTGGCGTGTGGAGTACCACAAGGCTCGGTTCTTGGACCTCGTCTATTCTGGGTGGTCATTAACCATTTGGCGAGATCATTTGATTCCGATTTCTTATTTTGTGCTGATGATATCAAGAATGACGAAGGATCAGAGAACCGGACGACCACGAACGGCTCTAGTGCGATCTTAACAAAATGTTGAACTTGTCACTTCAAAACGCCCTACCATACAACGTGGACAAATGTCGTGTTGTACAATTACGCCACAGACATAACTACACCTATTTACTTGGGACAAACGGATTGCAGACCAGCTCCCAGGAACGTGACCTTGGTGTGCTACTACAGAGCGACCTCAACTGTTCAAAACAGGCTGAGATAGCTGCGAAAAGAGGCAACCAGCACGTCGGCATGCTGCGAAGGGCATTCAGGAGATTTGACGTATCAATCCTCCCAATGATGCACAATTCCTACGTGTGCCCGCATGTTGAATACGCTATCCAAGCTTGGCAACCTTGGTTGAAGTGCGACCTAAAGGCGTTAGAGACATCACAACGAAGAGCAACAAATAATGTAAAGGGCCTGCGCTATCACTCTTACCATCGAAGGCTGAAGTTGCTGGGAATTTTCAGCGGACGCTATCAAAGGCTACGCGGTGATCTCATATTAACGTATCAGATACTGAGTGACCTCAATCACATATGCCGCCATTTGCTGAAACTTAGCCACAACACACAGCTCAGCGACAACTACTTAAAATTGAAGGAACGATATAGCCGTCTATAGTGTGCGGAATTACTTTTCCCTTCGGGTTTGCCAACCCTGGAACGCACTACCAGACTCAGTTGTATCCTATCCTATCTTGGACTTTTTCAGAAAACGATTAGATGTTGATCTTAGCTCCCAGCATTATGTTACCTAAACTCCTCTATTGTGGATTAAGCCAAGCATGCTTTTCAACAGGATTTATGTATCAAAAAGACCCACGTGAGCGACCATATTTTACTTTTCGCACGACTTACATCAACGATCACTGCACCCCAGTGTCTTTCTGAACGTTTACGCCGGATTTTTTTAAAATTTTACATTGATGTAATTTATCCAAGTATTCATCGAGGCAGACGTTCAGTAGATGACTCAGATGTATTTTGATTTCATCATATTCACCGCAACCATCCTACGGGACGTGTCAAGCGCTTGCATTTATCCCGTGATAAATCGTTGTTCGTTGTCCGTAAATATGTCCTACTTCAACCGACAACATAACCATCCACAAGCGTCGAGATGGTTTATTCATAAACCGGGCAGTTGTTTCAGCGTTTCACAGGTTACTTTGTTTCGGTCGGTACAGTGCTACGTGTAACGAAACCCTAAGGCCTAGCCAGGAGCACCGTCGGTGAGTCAGTCGTCATCAGTGAGCAACCATTTTCGGACGACAAATGCCGCAATGACGAACCATGGTACAAAGCGAATATTTGGTAAAAGTTTAGAGATTTTTCGTCACAGTCAAGTTGCAAACAAATGTCTTTCAATACAAATGTCCTCGTGCTCTCCAACCATGACGCCAGAGATCCATAACACATTGAGACACTCAGTATCTTGTTGTGCGCCCTGCATCCGGGCTAACTTTGAAGATTCCTTACTGACGACGAGTCGATGCTTCACTTATCCGAACTTTAACCCCGGTGCTAGCAGTTCATCAATTTCCTGGGTAAGTTTACATTCTCGCCCACTTTCTCGCACTTGCTCACCTTTCCTTCGTATTAGAAAACATATGCGAATTTCCGTGAAATGCGTCAACAGACTCATTGTAAAATGTGCAACAAAGTGGTGACAAAGACTTACACTTCAACCTTGATAGCAATAAGAGCGAACCTTCGTCGTGCACCACACCAGCCAGTAGGGGTAATTTGGCAAGCCGTCCTTGTCGCCTTTCATGTAGCGGCATGCGAGGCAAGAAGCCGGCTGTTCCATCCAAAACAGGAGTCCAGATAAGGTGAGTTGCCCCACGTAGATGTTGCAATCGCCTAAAAACCAAGTAACAGATTAAGCATTAGATGAAATGTTGATGTTCTGTAGTCCGACCGATCATGAATACTGGCTTTGTTGTATATTTCGCACTGGGAAACCATTCGGGCCTCTGACAATCATGATCCTTTAGTCCAACAGATGATGCCTAAATGGTTTATGTGGTGTGAAAAAAGACGAGTTGTCAACCTTTTCATTTTGTCAACGTTTTCGGATTCAGTATTGCCGTCTTTACTACTACTGTTACTCATGTGTTTGTTGCTATTAAGCATTCCACCGTTACCTGCATTCGTTAACCGGGGTGTTATCAGGAGCCAAAAATCCCTCACGTCATGCTTCCCGTCCAACACACAGGAGTGAAATTTGTCAAGTCAACAAGTCCAGCTCCCATAAGTTATAAACATGTGTGGCTTTCTTACTTATCTGAGCGATCTTGGAGGGCCTTTCGGACTTGCTCACGCTGGCATTAGGGATTGGGATTTGCGGCTGCCGCGCAAGCACCATTCACCATTCTTGGTTGAGCCGCATCACTCGGAATGAGCTCTGTTAAAGCAAGTCATCTAAGAATGATCAAGTGAGATGCTAACAGATGCACTAATGACATGTTAGTTGGCACAGTACAACAATGTGCATTGTCGCATACGCAATAAAAGCGCTGGGCAGGTTATTTGCGTGCCCAGTGGAAACTAACTGGAATCCTATGGTGCTTTCCGGAATCCATTTTACTCGACTCCATATATGAGGTAGATGGTCGACCAATGACATTTCATTCAGGAGGAAGGGTGAACGATGTTTCCCGTGGGTTAGCAGGATTAGGTGCGCTCGAAATCATAGAGTTCGTCCACCTATTGCCTGGTCCAGACAACCATTAAAAGGTCACCATCTAGGTCTCTTATGCGTATTTAATCCACGGACCAAATTACACAAAGTGCGGTCATCACAGACGCCCGTTAGTATTTTGTCACTAAGGTATTCAAGAGTAGTGCTTGCAAAATCACCAGAGCACATAAGAATGAAACGATTTCGGCTGTACAGTTCGGATGTATAGGCAAAAGTTATGTTCAGTAGATTTGCTTGTGACCTATAGTTAAGAATAAGTTTCGGTTCCTACATGTGGTACAAGTTGATGGACGCATCCGGTGGCGCATCACATCAGCACAAGACCGAATTCAACGGGATCATCATCTCAAGGGAGCCAGGTTTTAAACACCTTCGCATCACCAAACTGCCTCGACACAGTGAATATTCCGTGCTGTACTGCATGCTAGCCTTTTGTCTAGACGAAATGCTGAAATTTATCCGTGTGTTACCGCATGATTTCCTAAACCATATACACACACACAGTTGTCAGCACCAATAGTACATGACACATAGTCATTTTCAACGTCGGACCGAGTGGGTGTATTTGAGTAAGAACAAGCGCTGTGCGAAAAAACGCATTCATGCCAGTGCGCACCTCGGAAACTTCAACAGTGTCCAAATGACATGGCTGGTCTAACCTCTGAGCCTAATGCTTCGCTTACCGTAGCTGCTTCCGCGGTCAGTGTTTCCATCCATTGAACCATATACTTGAATATTAGGCTGCTTAGAAAATGGTGACCAGAAGAAAGCGCACACGAAAAGTGCGGACAGCGAAAAGCACACAGACAAAAGCGGATATGAAGATTGCCGATAAGGAAGATTACACACACGGAAGATTGTGCACAATAAAAGTGAACACATTTTCGCATACTGTTAACATGGTCACATATGACCGTATTACTTGTGTACTTTACTTTATACTCACATTAGCAATTCACGTCGCATAAAACGATCTACTGCAGGTAGCGACTACGAGACAATAAGATTTATCTTCGGTATCAGAATATACGTCACACCACAGCCGCTCATACAACGTTGCATCCGGGAGGAAATAATTGGACACATCTCCAACGCTTGGTCCGATCTTAAGATCGAGCTGTATTTTTCCTCTTCACAAATGCCTGCTTAGCAGTTCAACAATTCCAACCATCACGGTATACCTAACCTTACTCCGTACCATAAACATGTTACCAATGGCTTTAAGAATACAGACAAACGTTGACCCATATTGACGGTGTAAAAGTTATTGACAAGATTCCACAAAATCGTATACATGGCAATAATAGTACAGCCGCACGAATGAACAACTATGACCACGCATGCATGTCTAAACGAGTGTGAATCATGACTGACAGCGTCTGTTCTCGGTTCTGCTTGTTTGTTACAGTGTCCCGCATGTGGACAACCACAGGATGCTTGCGGTTACTGAGGGATGGACTGTGATTGGCTTGCGCTACACCACCCACAGCTCCATCCACACACATCCAGTGTAAACCCATAGGAATGACACTGGGAGGCAAGTAAATGGTAGTCAAGATTCATCAACAGAGACGACGCACAGTTGTTCAACATGAACAGCATTCTTGTCGAAGTTGCGAATCAGCCGCGTACCGAACATCGCATGCTAGATGGGACCACTAATTGAGCCTAGCACAGGCGCAAAGGCTGTACACCCGCAATGGGGTGTGATTCATAAACCACAAGCAAGGACTGGGCATTGCTCACAAACTTAAGTTGTTCGAAGCCGTAACGAAATTGCGGGTGACACCCACTCCATATAAGCAGATGGAGTTCGGCGCTAATCTCGCCTAGCCATGAAGACGTTGGTGATGGCGGCCGCAGAGCAGGAGGCTGAACAGCATCAAATGACCTTTGAACGCGTGTTTGGCCAATGACGCTGCTATGTAACCGATTTAATCTACCAGTTCTATGTAAGCGGTTGACAGGAGTACGCGAAGTGCTAAGTGGTCTGCAACACACATCGCCGTTTCTTGTTGCACTGTTACTAGAAATCAGAAAGGCAACTCAGTTTTGGCATATTTGGGGTTCGAATACTTTCATTTCCACACTATCGAAGGAGTGGTAACTTGGAGATGCAGGCAAAACCGAGGTGTGAAGTGTCACCCACTGATGAAGACATGAGACGGCATCATCTTGCAACAGCCGACTGCGCACTGTCATGACTCATGTCCTCAAAAAGCGGAAGCCAATGCTGCACGAAGCCAAATGAAACTGGACATGAGTGTGGTCAGTGCTACACCTCTCAACGTTACAGGAAATGTGTTGTCTGCACTGAGTAGTAAAGCTTTGGTCCACTTGCATAAACAATCACCCATTGCAAGAACTCTTCTGAATCACCGAAAAAGCGGTCATTTACTTTGTCCAACAGGCAAACCTTTGATATTCCTGAGCAGTACTCCAAAGTAATTCTACATGATTCAGGTATGGATGATCCAGAAAGGATCCTTGTGTTATGTGATAAAGAACTTTACTGGGATTGTGCACAGATATCATATACGGGGACGGCATTTCGATAAAGTTCCCGACACGTTTTATTTGTCGTACAGGTGGCACGCCAACGTGGGCAAGAGTTATTATGCTTACGTTTACATCCTGTTTCAGACCTATACAAGAATGTAAGAAAACACGGTTGCAAAGAGATCTCTTTTCGGTAGTGAAAGCTAATGAAAGCTGAGACGAAAGTAGGAGAGAGTGAATTTATTCGGAAGGAAGTTAAATTGATCGGGCCAAGTGGTAAACCCTTTGTTGTCGATGAAAACTGACCTTATTTGACCCCACTTGACACAGTTCGCTGACCACTTTGTGAAGCAAATTGGGTCAGCCGAGAAGTGATGCCACCTTTGGGCTCATTAATATTCCATGTGGATGGATCCTTATCATGGCCGCGGCAGCGTGAGAGATTGCAGTAGCATCCTCTGCTTGCAAATCTCCGGTTGCGTTAACCTGATCGCTATCGATTCCGCGATATTAAGGAGGCGTCTCTTAATCACCTTAAGAAATCGTTTTGATACGGTGTAGAAAGCATTGAAAGCATCATGGGTCAGAATTTCGTGTCCACTTTGAACCAGATGTGCAAGGATGGAACTCCTGATACTTCCGGCCGTGCCTTTTCGTAGAGACCCGGGACATTGCTCAGATATCCTTGTCGACAGACGTCTGGTCGTACGTCCGAGGTACTTAGCATCACAGGTGCAAGTGAATTGATATATCACGTACGATTCGGACTTGGCCGGTAATCTGTCTTTAAGGCACTGAGTAATAAATAGAGTGGTCTCAGCAAGAACGTGTGGATTTGCGGCTGGGTATGTTCTTGTCACTGCAGTGGAAAGAATGTTTGCAATAATGAAACTACTGTTACCGGATATATTCCAGCAAAGGTGTTAGACTTCTATTAATGCCGCGAGATTCACCTTTCCAGACGAAGTAATTAAAGGATGCTAGTTCTACCTGAGTCAAAGTATCATCACAAAAGTCTGCAAAGTCGGCCTAAAGAGTGCTTTTCAAATGGATGTCAAAATTCAACTACAGCTGAAGTAACTGGCTGCACTTTCCTTAGTCCCAGTCGCTGAAGTGAGAGTTTTGATGAGCTTGCTAGCATATTTCAAAATGAAAAATCATATAATGCGGTGCTCAATTATTTCTTCTCTACTTCCATCGAAGGGGCAGCAGGCCGAGAACCGCAGTTCCCACTGTAAATGTGGAACCATCACGATGCCGCTCCTGATAGGTCACCGGAAACCACCAGTTGCTACGGAGGAATTCGCATTGCTTTCAATTTCTTATTCCACTACAGTTATCCAAGCGTTATGGCATTTGTTTGATGGACTATAGAGGGACTTGGCATGCCACAGATGTACACTAGCCAATGCGCGTGAAGGTCGCTTTGGGGCGAGTAAGAAAAGATATGATGCGTTGGAAGCTGCCGTTGTTTCTTGTGTTTGAGATTATGAATCAATAAGGACCGGTTTAATAGTTGCGGAGATTAGCTAATTTGCAATAATTACCCTTGTTGTTCCTACCGGTGTTAAACCAAGCGTCAAGCTATTTGTGCTCAACGGAAAATTGTACTCGTAGGAACAAATCCTGTACCACTATATTTCAACCTACATTCCGTCTC